GAACAGTCCTGCCCCGACACGGGGTCTGTGAATAAACACAACACTAGAGAGCAACCCAAGCTGCACAGACTGGATCCAGATCTAACTTCCCTAGACTTTGAGAGTTTTTGGACCTCTGGGTTGAATCTGGGAACATCCCCATTTTACACAAATAGCCCCCTGGAGTTCTTCTAAACATACCAGCTGGGTGCAGTGCATAACAATGAGTGTGATGTGTCCCACCAGTGGCCAGGCTCAAGGACAGTGTAAGGGTTCCACTAGTATTACCCTATCAAGAAGTAAGTGGTAAAAGCCTGTGTTGTTGGAGGGAAGAACTAGGGTTCTAGTCCCAGCTCCTGGGTGTGTTTACATGAGAGAGATTTATGGGACAGTACCTTGTGTGCGTTGTCTGCATTTTGTCATTTATCATTCTATATTGCCAGTGACAATTCAATTCCGTTACGTAGCAAAGTCGTCCTGCCCACCATCACCTCACTGATTTTATAATGTCACACTCTCAGGGCCTTCAGGAGATTCCCAGCATGTCCTGCTTTCTACCAAACTAGAAACACCACAGAAATAGCTTCTCTCTCTCTTTTTCCAAGAGATGTCATTATGTCCAGTTCTGTCTGAAACCAAAAAATTCAGAGGAGCAAAAGAAAATTAAATAAATAGCCCAGCAAAAGCTACCCAAACTTGTTTCAAGTTTCATAAGTGGCTTGGGATCAGATTGAGTTTTGGCCCCAAGTTCCCATCAGTTCTCATTTTACCCAAACCATTTTACTTAAGCTTACAGCTCAGAGTGACTGGCAGCTATAACAACAACACACTTGCTATTATAAAAGAAATTAAATATTTTCTCTCATATCCTGGAAGGAGATTAGCCTTTACAGTGAGGATTACCATACATAGAAGAGCTGAGAAAGTCAAAACCATAAGCCTTCAAAACATTGACATTTTTCATTTCAAAACAAAGAAAAACGCAGCAGGCAATTTCACCAGGTAAGGCTTTCTAAATGGAAAGAGATAAAAACAACAGCTAATATTATCCCCCTGACAACTGGCTGGCCAGGCTGATGCCATGGGCTGCCAGGCCAGGCCAATAGAAAGAAACCATATGACAAAAACCACCTGTAACTTCACTTTGAAATAAAAGGCAAAGTTGTCATAAATCAAATAGTATAAAAGTCTTCAAAGCCAGCCAAGTGTCAGGGGACAATAAATGGATTTGTTTAGTATATCTGTGTTTAGCATAAAATAAAAAAAAAATCAGGCAAAAATCTTATTTCCAACTACAGTAAAGTTCAGCCAAAAATATAGTGCTTAACAAAAGAGAGAGATCATTAACAATCACAGAAGCATGTCTGAGAAAACACAGAGGCTGGTTTAGAACCCAATCCTGCAAACACTAACTAGTCTCATTGAAATCAATGGAACTGTAGCGAGCACTGTGGCCCCCTGTGCGTGTTTATAAGATCAGGTTCTGAGTGTGGACAATCCACAAACTCTCCTCTTCAGTCTTAGAATTTACACACACTGACTACAAAGGGGAACTGAAGCGGAGACTGGCATGATCTATTGGCCAGAGCACAGGACTGGAAGCCAGGAACTCCTGGGAGCATGCACTCACACAGTGGCAAAGCACATGCCCCAAACTGTGCACACTCAGAAAGAGAGCCCAGGATCATCCCAGAGGTGTGTGCAGCAAACACGCCAAGCACAGCAAGGAAGATGTGGAGCTAGTCATGTGTGACAAGGCTAAAATAGAACCTACTACAAACGAATACAGTACAGCAACCTCTCCTAGCATGAAGATGTTAAACAGCTGCCCAGGCATGAATGCTTTGGTAAACAAGACCCCGTGTCCTATGCAGCACAATAGACCTAAGTTATGCAGCATCATCTCAGGAATTATGTGGTGGGGATCCCGCAAATCCTCACTGCCACTCAAGTCCAGTCCGAGCCATACAATGCTCCTTATTTTCTAGTTAAGGCCATTTATTTCACGCTGTCCTGACTTGAAATTTTCAGCAGGTTGCAGATTATTGTGCTGACAAGGCATAACTGCCCCGCAGAAGTTGTTAAAAGGAAAATTGGTGGTTTGAGCACTGGAGTAGGGGACAAGTGGAATTTTTGGCACTCGGGAAGGTGTGGTGGCTGGTCTGGGTTAGTGAAACTCAGGATGCAGCTGAGGCTTTTGGGGAAAGGGATTCATTTCTTCTTTCAACTCCTCTTACTGGGTAAGGCAGAGGTGATTTTACATTTGAGGGGAGAAGGGGATTTGAATTCCTTGTTCCCCAACTTTTTACAACCCTCTGGAGCCTAATCTCAATACCTGCTACCACATCCAACAATGACAAATGTGCACATTAACCTATTTCTGCTAAAATGATCAGGAATGAAGTAGTTAACATTGACATCTAAAGTTATCAGAGTTTGGCATCAGAGTTAATACTCCATAAAGATGAATAGGGGAGGTCACACCTCTCTGAGCTTTTCTTTTAGGCTGTCTAAAGACTCAACAGCATCAGTTAACATTTTGAATAATATTTTCACAACCAGAAGGGCTAGACACTTGGGTTTTTAACTGAAAACTGAGATTATGAAGCACAGTTATGCATTAATTGTAAAATAACCTTCAATTACACATATGCTCCTAATAGTAACTAATCAGCCCAAAACAAGTACACTGCTAGCAGCCCACAGGAGAAAAACACATGAGCCCACTGGGGAAAAAAAAAAATAAAAAAACCACCAAAGCCAGCATTTGTCCAGAGTGTTAGCTGGTTAGCAACTTGATTAACATTTAATCCTCAAACTGCCAGTAACACCCTGTGTGAGTCCCCTCCTTTGATATATATAAAAATACACCCATAGGCTCAACCTTGCTCAGCACAGTTTGGGATAGCAATAACTAGTCTGAAAAAGGGATCCAAGCCACATGCTCTTTGTACCTTCCCTCCCCCTTTTGGGGCGGGGGGGGAGGGAAGGTGGCAAGGGGGGTTACATTCGCAACCTCCAAACTGCTTCTTTCATGGAGTGAGTACAACTTACTGCAGCTTCAGGTTGACCAGACAATCTCCTGCTATACTGCACACTTCTTGAGGGAGGGGGCAGAGATGACCAGGCTGCCTCTTTTCCTGTGATCAAGCCCCTTTTTCTGTTACAGTAGCTGGCACTCAGCACTAGCAGCATGCTGCCTAACGTGGGGAGGGAGAGCAGACCAGCGCAACATTTCTGCCTTTTATCTGGGAAGTGAACAGTACAGCTTTTCTCTTGAGTGGTTTATACCACATTCCTCATTACAAGAGCCAAATGCCCTTTTCTCCCCCTCATACACAATCCTGTATGGAAGGTCAGATCATGGAGTCTTACAATTGAGGATCAGAAACTGCCATTCCACATGTTGCCCATTCATAGGAGAAGCTCATGCATTTTATTTACATCACATTGTGGTCATATTTCTGATAGCAAAAGAACGGTTATAATTTTTTCTGAGAGAAAGAGAGGGGGAAGAAGAACAAGTTCACTAAATCTATTTAAGGAAGTCAGTAAACAACATCAAGTACATAAAAACTGACTATTTAATATTAAATATCAGGAGAGGGGAGTTAGTAACTGGGCATTATTTAAAAATTCACCTTGTCTCAGTCTAGCATTGGGCAGAAGGTGGGTGAGGTAATATCTTTTATTGGGCCAACTTTTGTTGGTGAGAAGTTGGTCAATAAAAGATATTACCTCACCCACCTTGTGTCTCTAATATCCTGGGACCAACATGGCTACAGCAACACCGCATATAACTGTTATTCTAAATGCACTAGGAGCATACACAAGGCCTGAGGCCCAGGATGGGTTAATAAAAGACAAGTACTGCCTTGTTGAAACTTAACACTAATTATTATGTATTAATTTCCATTACCTAAAACTGGGTTGTATTACCACACAGGATTTTTCATTTTATGATGCACTAGTATTTTATAGTGGTTGGCTGAACTCAGTTACCCGCATCCTTTAAATCCAGCCAATCAGATTTCTCTCCATTGGCCTTATCAGAACCATGGAAACAAGGGGGATGCAAAAAGGAAGCAGGCAGGATAATAAAAGCATCGAGAGATCGCCTGGCACCCAATGACAAAGACACTGTTGACTGATTCGTCTTCTTAGATTATGCTTTACCAGCCTGAGTGAGCTTGGATTGGCAGAGAGCTTTTGAATCTCAGAGGGTGGATCTGGCAAAACTCTAGTTTCCTGGGCAATAACTGCAGAGCACAATGCACACAACTCCATGAAGATAGATCAGGGACTCAAGCCACGTGACCCCCACTGCCTGCCCAAATAAAGTTTGACAGGTGTATGACACCTTAGAGTCTAGCTACTTTAGGATACCAGACTTTTAAAACGTGTTTTGAACTCCCTATATACTTTATTTAATTTTTAAAATAAAACATTCATCCAAATAAAATCAGAAGCATTCCTACCCATTCCATATTTACTACACCACCTTGAAAACCTCCCCTTAAACCTAACAGGAAAGTCCGGAATTTTTTAATTAATGAGGCGGGCATCAGGTCTCGCTAACTGGCCTTTCAGTGGTGGATTTCTGAGTGTCAATCAACAAACATCCTTTGGAAAACACTGCAACGTTTAAAAAAAAATCTAAGAAATATACATGGGAAGAGCGATCTGAAATTGTTCTTTCCTTTCACTCTATCTGAGGGTAAGCCAACTATATTTCTATGGGCCCCCCTTATTTCAAATATATGTCCCAGATTTCCACGTTCAAATGCAACAGGTATTTGTTCAATTTCACTAATAAAAGAGACTGGGCAAAAGCAGACACCCTGACACCCAGGGTGGATGCACGCGTTCTCCAAACACACACACACCACACTGCAAAGCCCACGGCCCCCACTCACTAGCCAGGGCACGAACCCCAGCACGGCTCGCCCTCGGGGCTGCCCGCAGAGCCAGCACAGGGCACTCGGGAGGAGACCCGCGCTCCCCGCTGCAGCTACACTCACGGAAGCTGATGCCCAGGCTCCGGCTGACGCTGAGGCGGCTGGCAGACCCTGCAGGGACAGACTCGGCGTTCCCCATGGCTCCAGATCCCCTCCTCTCGGTCAGGCTCCTCCGTGGGGCTTGGAGTCGCAGGGGCTGCAGGCGCTGGACGAAGCAGGGCGCGGAGCTCCGGGGACTCTGGCACTTGGCAGCCTGGGGCTCTCCCGCCAGATTGCGCGTTCAAACCCCGCAGCCAGCCCCGCACATGGGATCGGCCTCCCACCTGGCTCCGGGACAAACCAATCGGCGAAGCCGGGCTGGGCAGCGCACCTGCCAAGCGGGCAGGCTGCAGGGAGAGCTCAGTTGGTGCGCAGCCCGCCCACGCGTGACGCCCGGCCGTCGAGGCTGCGCGAGCGCGGGTAGGGGTGGGAGCAGCGCGGCGGGCTTAGGAGTCTGGGGAGCAGGAGCATTCCTCCATCCCCAATCCGGGGGCTCTGCGGGCTGGCCGCGCGTGGGACCCCGGGAGGAGGCCGGGCTGTAGTTCCTGCAGATTTCGAAATGTCCCAGGGCACCGAGGAGGAGGAGAGCAGCAGGGTCCAGCTGTCCCTGAGAGCCTACGGCCTCGCACGGGGGCTAGTCTGGCATGGAGGCAGGAGTGTTACCCAACCAACGTCAGGCTGCTGGAGCTCACCCACGCCAGCTTCATTACCCTGGGCAGAGAGGGCGCTCGCGGATTTCCAGCCATGTATCTACTCCCCCACTTTCACCCCTCCTCCCTGCACTCTGTCCTCCTCAAAAAGTCCATCTGCTTCTATGCATCTCCGTGGGGACCCTGCTCTCCCAGGGGCCTTGGTTGAAGATGACCTGCAAAGAGGGGCAATATCCCCTTCCTGTTTGCTTCCTTCTTTCTGATGGACAAAGAGGCCTGGAAGGTTTAAACAGAAGAAGGGGAGTGACAGTCTGCTTTTTGTTTGCCCCTGTATGAACTATAAATTTAGGTCCTGCCGGCCCTGACAGATTCCAAAGTGCCTGGAGATCTAGAGAAATTAAGGGAGCACATAAACCAAGAGAGTGAAAGCAGAGCAATTGAAAGGAGGCTGGATTTGCAGTCAGACTTTCAAGGGGAACAGCTAGGGAAGCACAGTCTGGGATTGGGGGCACGTACCTGGATCTAGAAACTCCCTAGAAGCAGGGCCAGTGCAAGGAATTTTCACGCCCTAGGCGAAACGTCCACCTTGCACCCCCCCCAGCCCTGCGGCAGCTCCCCGCCCTGAGGCGCCCCTTCCTGACGGCCGACCCCCCCCCCCCGTCCGGTCGGC